CTTTCCCTTATTTTACTTTTGTAATACTTAGCTTCTGTGACACCTCTTTTTCCCTAGTTCTCCTGTCTACCTCCATTTCTTCTTGGTTTGGATCTTCTTTTCACCATCCCTTGAATGTTACCTTTCCTTGGGTTCATTTAGTCATTCCTTTTCACCTTTATCCTCTCTTAAGACTTACTAGTTTTAACTACTAACTTTGTGCTACTACTAACTCAGAATTTTGCCGAATTTACAGTTCTGTTGTCTCTTGGATGTTCTAAAGATCTCTTTTAAAAAAAATCTAAGTGGTTCAGTTTAAGTCTTGTTCAGACAGATTAGTAATGAAGTATAAACCAGTCTTTGGTATTTTCTCTGATAGGCCTGTGATAGTTATTTGACTGGAGCTATCATTTGGACTGGCCTCATGTAGGCATAGGGAAATAAGGTAAAATAACAAGTGTGTGTCATACTGGTTAAGCATTCAGGTTCTGAAGTTAGTTTAAATAAGATAGGTTATTTGGTTGGCATAAATTTGATTTGTGGTAGAAATTAATAAGGCTATAGTCCTATTGAACGTGGACTTAACCCAGAGAATGACAGAATAGGTTAGTAGTTCTTGACTTGAATTTTAGCACTTTATTAATCAAATCCTTCCCTGCCCTCCCCCTCCCCACCGGATTAGCAAGAATATTTTTTTGTCTAACACATTTAAAATTTTTACTTTCAACAGAAATTAGCAGAGTACGGAAAGACATGTACAATGACACATTAAATGGCAGTACAGAAAAAAGGAGTGCAGAGTTGCCTGATGCTGTGGGACCTATTGTTCAGTTACAAGAGAAACTTTATGTGCCTGTAAAAGAATACCCAGATGTAAGTATATTTTGTTGCTTTATTCAATATATTTTTTCTGCTTCATATGCTTGGGAAGGGATATATTTGATGGTAAATACTTAAGCATCATCAACCACTTTAAAAACAATTCATGTTGAAGGGCTGGAGATACAAATAATTTGTCATGAATAATTTTAAAAATTTCAAAATATGTTTCTAATGGATTGTGGTTATGTCACTTTTGGAAATGCACATGGTTAAGATTGTTTCAGATTTCATGAGGCCAGGTATCATGGAAAGAGCTTTGGCCTGAATTCAAACAACACCAAGTACGAGTCTTTGCTCATCTTTAATCAGATCTCAGAGAAGCCACACCTTGGGCCACATCATTCTTTCTGTAGAATGAAGGTGTTGGACTGTAAGGTTCCTTTCAGCTCTAAAATTTTTATCAAAACTACTGTTTGTGATCTCATTTTTTTTAAACTTTAGTTTATTGCTTAATTATTTTCTCTCAGAATCCTTTTGCAAATAATCTCCCTGTCCTATACCAGGTAATTTCTAACTAACCTAGACTTTGCCTTTTGATACAAAGCCCTACATGATGCTGTCAGTTCTGTTTCTTTCATCTCATCTTAATGATTTCCTCTTTTTCACTATACTGTAATCACTTGGCCTTCTCTTGGCTTTTAGAAAAATCACATTCATTACTAGCCTTAGGGACCTGTATGTTAGCTGTAGCTTGATCTCTACTGTCCAGATTCTTTTTACCATTAAGATTGTAGCTTAATGTCAGTCACTTCAGAGAAGCCACTGCTGGCCATTTTATCTAAAGGCATCTGGTTACTCATTGTTTCACATAATTTTCTTTTTCCTCTGCAACAATACTTGTTATTTGGTATTTTTCTTGATTGTTTATTTTTCTGTACCTCCCCAGGTATAGAATGCAAGGTACAAAAAACAAGAACCTTGGTTGTTTAGTGCTGTATCACCCAAAATACTGGCACAGAAGAGGAATCTATTACCTATGAATGAATAAAGGAAAAGCAGTGGCTTTTTTGTTAGGTTTCAGAGGACTTCTCTGAAAGCGAATGAAAGGAGGAATTGATATTATAAGGTCAAAAATGTGATGTGTGCTCCAAGATTTTTTGGTTGCTGGTCTGCAGATGGGAAATAAAATACTTACATTGGATTAATGGGAAAAAGTTTTTATAAAGTGGTCTCCCCTTGTTGGTGGTTTTGTTTTCCACAGTTTGAGTAACCTTGTACGGTCAACTGTTGGTATGGTACAGTGGGATATTTTAAGAAAGACTATATTCACATAACTTGTATGTCAGTATGTTGCTGTAATTGTTCTGTTTTATTGTTAACTATTACTATGCCTAATTTATAAATTAAACTTTTATCACAGAGTCTGGTACTATGGTTTCAGGTGTTCACTGGGAGTCTTAGAATGTATTCCTCCTATGGATTAGGGGAAACCGGTATTTTATAATTTGCATTTCTAAGACATATTTTTAAAGCTTGTGTATTTTTTGATATGTATTTTGTTGGAAGATTATTGAGTAATACAAAGAATTAAAGGCATAGCTAGAAAACCAAGCTTCATATAAGGCAAGAGCCAGGCTATCTCTGAGAATTTTAGCAGTAGGCATTTATGAACCTTCTCTATTGAAAGCCTTGCTCTTAACCTAGGTTGGCATCAGTGCCTTCCAAAGTTTATGTTCAACTTTTTGATTCTTAGAAGTGTTTTGATCTGTTTTCCTATGACTAGGAAGAGATGTTACCTGCTACCATGGGCCTGCCCTGGGGATTGTGATTATTCCTAGAAATGAGAAAATATGATTTGGGCAGCTCCTCCAGTTGGGGTCTACTGTTTGGTGTTCAGAATCCCCTGAAAGATGTCATACTTCTCATCTACTTGTTTAAATCCTAAAGCAATAGTCATTAACATAGAATAAGACCATAGTAAGATTTTGATAGAGAGTAAACCTTGATCTTTTTGTTGCATCTCTTTAAAAAGCTAAACAAAATCCATTCAGGGAAGGGATATTTATGTTGCATTATTTTAAAAACATATGTTCTATATAGCCTTATTTATTAAGACCTGGATCCAGAGGGCACCATTTATTATATTGTTTTCCTTCTTCCACCAGTTGTGACTCATTGGCAGAGAGAGTGTGGCTGATGGTTAACATTGTCTAGATAGCTGGTTCTCAAAATGTGGATCATGGTTTCTGTACGTCCTAGGTACTTATAATTACTTGTCCACATCTTGTCCTAGTCAAGTTAAATCAGAAACTCTGGAGAGAGATATAAGCAGTCTGCCTTTTACTGAGCCCTGTAGATGATTCTGATACATGCTAAGATTTGAAATCGCTGCTCTTATTTTATTTGTCAGAGTGAGCCAGACTACCAGGTAAGTGATTGTGAATATGGTCATTTTGTCAGGCATCATTTCAGGAGGTAGGTAGAGTGGTTAACTCAACAGTGTTTCAGTGGAGGGGGCATTTCAGTAGAAGAGATAGACAGTGAACAAATATTGGCTTGTTGGAAAAGTCATGACATACTTTTCTTTTTTAAGAATTATTTTATTGTACATATGTATGTATGTATGTATGTATTTAAATTTGACCAGAGAAGGAGAGAACAAGAGAAAAGGAGAGGGAAAGTGACTAAGCAAGTCGCTGAGTCTGGGACTCAAACCACTGTTGGTTGTGTGGGAGTCCAGTGCCCTTAACCACCATGTTACCTGCCATCCCCCATGACATATTTTTCTATGCAAAAAAAATGGATCATGACCTTTCTGATGACCATATACTTTTGGGTAGAGTCAATACTGTGAAGAAACATAAAATAGGGTAAACTGATGATTGATGACTCTGTGTGGGGGAAGGTGTTTATATTTATGGGTAATCAAAGAAATAATTTCTTATAAGATGATGGGAATGGAAAGATAAGAACAGAGTGATGGAGAAGAAGGCATGAAAATCATCTGGGAAAAAACTTTTCTAGTCGAGTGAACAGCAAGTGCATAGGGACTCAGGTCTGAACCTGCTTCGGAGGTGTGCCAAGACAGGAGAGTTTAGAGTAAGCAGAAGGGCCATGTTATGTAGAGCCTGGGAGTCTCTCTAGGAATTTTGGACACTATTTGAATGAAATGGGAAGCCATCCCAATATTTTGAGGAATGAGAAAAGCTCTGGGTAATGGTGGAAGCAGGGAGACTAGTTAGGAGGCAGGGAAGGGGACTTGAGCAAGAGAAATTGAGGGGACATTAATTCTGCATGCATTTCTATTTTAGAACCCATAGGATTTGCTGCTAGATTAGATAAAGAGGTGTTAGTGAAAGTTAGGGATGGCCCTGAGGTTTTGATCAGTTGCAGTAGTGAAATTGCCAGTTCCTGAGATAGGAAAGGGTGAGACATAGGGTATGATTTGGGGAAAGTGGGTAGTCAGCACTTCTAATTCCACAGTGTTATGTTTGAAGTCAGACATCCCGATGTAGGGGTATCAAGTAGGCAGATGGATGTATGAGTTTGGGGTTACCTTCTTAGCATCTAAAAATGTCTATTTTAATCACAGTTTTTAAATTAGAAATGTAGCTGAAATTCATAGGAGAGAAGTATAAGTGAGTACTAACTTTTGTGGTCTATATTAGGAAGCTTATCTTTAAAAAATTGAATAGTATTAAAAATGAAACAAGGGAAGCTGTCAGATTTTATCAGTATGGGAAAAGATTTTTTTAACATAAAAAGTACTTTTATATTTTTCTTTCTCTTAGTTACTTAGTTCATTGTTTTATCTATAATGCCAATTTCATAAATAAGTATAAAAATAAAAAATAAATGTCATTAAAGTAATTTAGTCTGTGAATAAGAGTCACCTCTTAAAATCTGGTTGAAACAGGACTGAAAATAAACAAATGGTTCTGCTTTAAAATTAATTGAGAAAATTTTTATTGAGTCTTTTCTATATGTTATCACCATTTTAAAAGGTAGAAGGTTAATGGTAAAGAAGAGACCTCTGGCTTTAGGATGTTTGCATCTGAGAGAAAAGGGCATTCTTTTCTTCCATTCTAGGGGCCCGTGTAGACTTCATGTTGGGATATAAACAGAAATCACCTGCTATATTCCTCGACCCCCTTTGCTAAGTTGTAGGAACTTCTCAAGCAAATGCAACTATAAAAATGCTGCCTCAGAAAAAAATTAAGGGGAAAAGATTAATTTCAGAAATATGAATTAGATACTGGCTATATGATACACATATGCACTCTTCTTACCCTTACTTTTTCTTCATGTTATTAATACATCTTGGAGATCATTCAGAATGCCTCTCTTCCTCCATGCCCATGTGAATATAAGCTTCATTTTGTGGGTGAATGTATCATACTAGTTAATAATAAAATAATCTGTTCAGAGGGACAGCTTTAGCAGAAGCTATCCAGAAGTATGAACTTAGAACCATACTCTTGGCTAGCTTGGCTACTTGTTTGGATACTTTGGCAGATGGCGTTTTTGCTGCTCAGTTTCTTCATCTGTAATAGAGGTATTAAGTCTCTTACAGGGTTATGAGGACTGACTGTATTTGTATGTGTAAAGCACTTGGAAATGCCCTTATGTAAGTGTTCATCAGAATGTAAGCTCTAGAAGTTTACAGTCTTTTTCCTGCCGGCTTCCAATACGCTGGTAGGTGCACAATAGCATTTAGCTGCACATATTTGTTTGAAACTAATTATTTCAAATATTGCTAAACATTTTTAAAAACCTGGTATCTTTTGCATTTGCACATTACTCTAGAAGACAGTTTTAAGCTGGAAGGGGTGTTTTAAGTTTGGCTGTACAGTGCTCTGGGACTGATTTAATTGTAAGAAAGCCTTAAATTCAGTGTCTGAGAAATGAAGTAATACTATTAATATATACTGCCCTTCATATTGTTTTTGAACTGTTGGCTTGATGATGTGAGAATGAAAAGTTAATATGAAGAGCATGTTGAAATGTGTTGGTTTTTTTTTTTCCACAATTAATATTTACTTATATTTATT